GTTGAACGTATAATGTGATTCCCTATTACACGATTGACTAGAAAATTACATTGATCCTTAAAAATGTCATTTTAAGAATCAATGTAATTTTCAAATCAATCGTGTAATAGGGAATTATATTATGCGTTTAACAAATAATTTCACGAAAATTCCTATTCCACGAAAATATCTCACTTTACCTTAAATAATATGTGAAAATATACATTATTGTAATAAAATATATTACTTTTCAACATTTTTCGACGTTGAATAACATGAAGTTGTTTTAAAACTAACAATAATAATTATTACTCTGAAATGTGGTATACGTACATGCTTATTTGAATTAATTAATCTGCATCGAAAAAATAATAACACAAATTTTATGATGAAAAATTATAAAACCATACAAAGTTAATGTTATTATTTATTAAGGTCAATAGAAATACTGAGGACTATTACACTGTAGTGATCAATATTCGTGAAATGTACAGACTGCAATAGGAAACGGCAAAATATTAAATCTCATTATCTAATTGTAATACATTTATAATCAATTAATACAAAAAAAATAGAGAAGTACTTTCAGCACGCTATTAATTTACGTATATACATATATCAATGCACGCGTTTAAGTTATACAAAAATAATAACATTATACTACCCGATTCTGTATAAATTATTTTGTTCATATTGAAAAATGGAAGAATCCTAAAAAATAATATTTTAATTTTAAATAACCTTACATTTGTCTTCTTCGATATCGAAATAACTTCCATCGCAACCTTATGGTTCATCGCTTGAACTAGGTTTCTAGCTGATGTTAACAATTACAGCGTGTACTTGTTCTTGACATAACCTTCCTAATAATCTTTAATCAACATGATCTATAGCAGTGCACGAAATTCGGGATGATGCAAATTTTATGTTTTTACATTTAACGTTTCTATTACAATACGATTATTTCAAATAGTCAAATCACAAATGTATGATATTAATGTGCATAGACTTTTAATTTTATATTACTGCAATAAATACTACAGAAAATACTCAATTCACCATATGTTTCTTGGAATCATTAATATTCATGATACTATTCCGATAGGATATGTATTATATAAGTTGTATGCTCGGTATTATTGAGGAACAAAAGAACAATAAAATATGATGTTTACGTATTACTACTTGAAATGAAAAACTAACTACATCATAACAGTGGGTGTACATCTCGATAAAATCCTTACGTTGGGCTATTGTTTTGATTTTATCGTTCAATTCAACTCAATTTGTTGCTACGAAAAGATAATAAATGATTTACCTCTACGATTTATATGAATATAATATCGTCTATTCTGAGATAGTAGTACGGCTCTTTGTTTTCTTTGACCGGAACACGCGCGCGACGTTACAAAAAATTATTTTCCAATCATGTATAATATGTTTTAAAACAAATAAGGTTTTTGAAAACGTTGTTAAATTTTTTCTAATGAATAATTTTAACATCAATATAGTACTATGATATATCTATTTAAAAATATACAATTACAAATAACGATACGAAAAAAAAAAACACTATTTTTGCATTTGTTTTTTAAAAAAATTGTACTTTTTACTAGAAATTACCGAAAAAGGAATTATACATATGACGTAGACAATGTAAAATTAATTTCTTTATATCTGAAAATTGTCAAAGTACGCTTATATATTTATTTGTCTACTACGACTTTTTAAAACGTATTTTTCATTCTCTTAGGATATAATAAAGAAAGCTTAAATTTTAAAGCACTATAATATCCCTGAATTGTTTTCCTGGATAATTAAAAACAAAATACAGTACAGGTATCGCTTTAATTATTGCCATATTTTTTTTTTTTTTTTTTTTACTCCACTTCTTGAAATAAGGTGCACATAATGTAGGAGTTTGAAATTAATTTTATTCCCGTTATCACACAACAATTCAGTATTGTATTAAACGTCTCAAACCGAAAAAGTGACGTTGAACAAAAATTTAAAAGCCAGTATCGTTCCACGAATTCCGACGAAAAACTCGTGAGCCGTTATAGCCGTATTAATATTTTTAGAATGGCTTAACTGTTCTCACTACGTTATCGATTGAACGTAAAAAAAAAACCTAATTACAAATAGGTTTATTCATTATTATGAGAACAATTTGCGAAAGAACGTTTGCCTCGTAAGTTCTAATATATCATTCAGGAAGTCTTCATTATACGTAAGCACGCAAACTTAACAATAATCACTTGCCAATCGAAATGTGTTTCTTACCGGAAATAAAAATCAATCATTCAAAAGTATATGTCACTGATTGATGTATGGGAACACGTAAAAATGATGTACCATCCTCTATTGTTTTCGATCAGTTTCACGTGGTATACTGTTACATTCTTAATGATATCATTGTACATAGGTTGTATTCACATGCGACCGAATACTCAATAGATACGTGTGACAGGAGACGGATATTTACAGTGTACGATAAGTATACTAACCAATAGGTACGGTTGTGATTGCATTGTCAGTCGTTTGCAATTATTCGAAAGAATTCAATAGTTTACGTTTCAAATATGTTTCCTAACATTCTTTGGATTCAGACGAAAGTTATGAACTAACAAACGGACGTGTGCGGGATACCGATAAAAACACCGACAACCTCATAATAATCTATGTGAAAACATTGAAAATTTTCAAGAAATAATAACTCTAAGACTTGAGTTTTGACGTGAAAAAAATTTGTTTAATTGACTTTTCTAAGAATCCTAGTCGCCATTCTGCTATCTTTACACCTGCACTTTTGCCTGTTTTGTACTCGTACGATAACTTAGCTATAGCTTAAATCGGATCAGGGACCTATTTTTGTAAGTACCTATGACGAAAAAAAATATATTTCTATGATTTATTTAATTTAAAAACTTATTTTTGTAAAATTATAAACAAAAGTTTTTTCAAAAAATACAACGTAAAGAGATTTATTTAGTTTAACTCTTTAAATATCTTCATTTTACGTACAACACAACTACAACTACCTGCAATCATAATAAATTACAATACTTACTTAAATTAAATTAGATTCATTAGATCAATAGATTGAATTTTCAAATATTTTATAAGACGTGTGAAACATTTTTTTTTTTTGTTCATTATCTCGTTCAATTTTTTAATACAACCGTAGATCACGCTTATTAGGAACTATTGCCCTAGCCAACGAATTCCTCGAACTGGGAATTAACTACTGGTTGTTCTCGTACCATTTCGATCGAGACTTTTTAAAATGTTATATTCTTGTGTTTAAAATTAATAGTTATTCGATAAAGTATTGAGAAAACATTTATCCCTCTCTCTATATATAATATGTATATATACATAGGCGTGCGCAGACTTTGATTGCAGGGTAAATATTTTAAATCTTATAAATTATTTATTTAATTCAATATGCAAATATAAAAATAAATACTATTTAAACTTGCACAATTTATATCTAAGAAATCCTTATTTACATATTATTATACTATTTACAACTCCATCCTTCTGTCCACGGGAGTAAGGTTTTTGAATGTATCAATTACATCTTTAATTTTTATATTATATGCAAGTTCTGATTAGTCTGATTAATAACTAATAACTTTATTACATTTATTCACAGATATCAATTCTATATTATATGATTAAAACTGGCTTTACTTTATTCATATAAAATGTAAAAATGTTCGCTTTCTTGTATAGTATAGATATACATTTATTGAAGAAAAAGCCAGAGTCTGCAGAGAGGGGGGGTGACCCACCCGACCACAACCGTGCGAATGCCTATGAAAATATAAATATAAATGTATACACACACACACACACACATATATATATATATATATATAAATGTATATCACATGATTTGTATTATGTTGATTTTAATTCTCATCTGCTGTCTAACTCACTTATATTTCGATTCTTAACATAATATGTCTCAACATGATATGTCCATACAGCCACGACTAACTTCATTACATCGCAGTATCCGTAATAGTGTCTCGTATGCGTTGCGTAGTTTTAGTTGTTGTCTCCTGATCCGATGGATTTGCGAGGTCTAAACACTGGCATTCTAGTAATTAAAAGTTTCCCGCCTCGTGCATCAGTGTCTCTCGCGATCTTGTTAAGTTTAATACCGCATGCGCTGCTACGATAATATTACAAACGTCCATTGAATACGGTTTTATAATACCCTAGCAACTTCCGCCGTTTCTATTTATTTTCAATTCTGTCCTACGAATCGCCAAGACGACGGGATGGGGCACGATAAAGTTTGTCGAAAACGATAGGGGAACCCATCATTGCTCGCATTATCCAGTGACGTATCCATGGGGGGTTTGGGGGTTAGAAACCCCCCACCCCATGAACCTGTGATAGTAAACTTATATAGTATTATTTATGTATACTTTTTGACCGAATGGGCGTTAATCAATAATAATAATGATATGAAACAGGTAAATATTAACAGGACAATTGAAGTTAATACAGAAAAAGAGAAGTGTTGAATGCATTGGTACATTGATAAAAGGAAAAAGAAAAATTGATATAGTACTGTAATTAGCAGTTATCAGCTATTTTAACCCTGAAAATTTGAATATAATATGTACTATGTATTTTATTAATAATGTTTAATATTTTGCATTTGTTTAAACACAATACATCGATTGATTTCATCGTTTAAACATATGCTATATTTTTACGAATATTAAGTTTAAATCTACTGAACCCCACTCCCCCCAATAAAAAGTTCCTGGATACACTCCTGGCGTGATCCGTTATCATTATTATTATTACTGTTGTACCGGCAAAACTTTTGAATTATTCTTTATTCGTCATCACCGTTTGGATGTGTTCGAATGTTGCAACTTCAACAATACCTCCTTTTGATTCGGCGGTGTCCTACCCCCTCGTCGTTGTCGCGGCAACATTTTTTTATCGAGTGAACGTTATAATGATTCGGTTTTTTCCATGTGGTCGGTGCGTAGACGGAGGCGGCGGCGGTCACAACGACAAGACGCTGTACCCGCAGATATTCAACGTGGCTTCGCGGGCCTCGGTGACGGCGAACGCCACCTGTGGCGAAACGGAGAACGGACCAGAAGTGTACTGCAGATACGGCTCGGCGCAGCAGTGCGGCGTGTGTGACGCCAGGTCCGGCGACCCGGCCAAGACCCATGGACCGGCCAACGCGGTAGACAACGCGACCGGCACGTGGTGGCAGAGCCCTTCGCTGCACAACGGCGACCGGTACCAGTACGTGACGATCACCGTCGACCTGAAACAGGTATCGTATTAAAAAAATAGATATAAAAAAAAAAATTAACGCATTACGTTTGTCCGTCAGATTTTTACCGTTTATTCTACTCCTCTTTTTATTTTTCTCCTCGGTGAATCGAGTATCGTACGGTTAACGCGCAATCGACAGCCAACCCGAACTGGGGGTTGAAAACTGCCGACGATACCGTGTGCGAAATCGCCAAGATTGGGTTGGGCAGGTGTCCCCTCGGGGGAGGAGCACGGGAAAAATAAATTTATCCTTGAGGATGTTGCGAAACACGATTCTCTATTTCTGTTTACACGTCTTCGGCTTCCAACGTATCCCGATCGATCGATTGACGCGATAGAGGGGTTTCAAAAACTAATTCGAATCTGCCGTATAACGTTTTTCGACTCCAACCACATTTTTATAATGTTGTACTTAACGTACGAAAATAGTTAATTTTTGTCGATTTTTGTGTTTCCTATCCATTTAATTATCTTCCGTGAAATGTTGGCAGACTAAGTCAAACAAGTCGTCCATCGAAATTGAAGTTTACGACGAATTCAATTTCAAAATCCTTATCACATTTGATTGATCGCCGAGTCGAAAACAGAAAACGTATTAATCCTTTGTTTCGTATGTAGTAGACAGAGACAAAAAGCCATGACTTGCGATCCACTGAGTACTAAAAAAAAAAAAATCTTATAAACCCTATATTATTTTTATTAGATTAATTAAGAATAAAATAAAAACATACAATATTTCTTATGTGCTAGGTTACTGATTTTGAATGTTTCTAAAATACCTGCCGTGTGTAATTAAAAATACATTTCTACTTAATTCTTTTTTTATTTTTATTTAACGAATAAATATTGAAATATTGTGTTTCCGAATAACAGGTTGAAAAACTATTGATATTTAAAAAAAGCTATATTTTATTATTTAAATAAGTGCGAGCATTTTCATAAAAAACAAAAATACTTCAACAGAATTTCAGATAATTCTTCGGCAAAGAGTAAAAAAAAAAAAAAAAAATTCTATACAATTTATTAGGTCAGGAGTGTATAGTATATACACGCTATCGTTTTTATATTTTTTATTATTTTAATTGATTTAATATGAAACATAATATCTATATTTTATTACTTATAATTACATATTTGGCTAACATTTCGTGCAGTAAAGATTAGTTTTGTATGTAAAATATACAACGATGTTGTTTCTTTTCAACGAAATATCTATTTTCGTGAACTTTTTTCAGATAACAGAATTTAAAGAGGGTTTAACGTAAAAATTGGAATTCATTTTGATGGTATTATCGTATTTCCGTGCTTTTTTTAGTATTGTCGCAAATTCGCTGCGTTGTACGTTTGTCAGACGGAGACAACACATGTGGGTGGTCATCTAAAGCCATTCGACGTATTTCGTCCGCACGGTCAAACGTTTTGCAAAGCAAAATAATCGGTAGACGCAGGTATTACAAACAGTATTACGTCAAGCGGACAAATCTGTACGTGATTTATTTACGTATTATATAATATTATGACATAGCCTAGAGAACAATACAATTCCCGTTTAAAAAACGATTGACTTGCTATACAAGTACGATATTTGATTAGGTAGTGATTTTTTCTTATCGGCATCTTTTAACTTAACTTATTATTATTATTATTTTTTTTTTTCGATTTGTAATAATTTGCGAAAACTGCAAGAAAACTGCAGAGAAGGAAAAACATATCTTCCGGTAATTTCGTGACGATTTAGTCAGCTTATCCATTACACAATTGTCTTTTTTTCAAATTAATTTATAGATTCCCGTCAATGGCGTTTACAAGGAATGAATGTGGGAGTCAGATCTCTGCCAAGCTTTTTTTTAAATATTATAAAATAATGTTCTTAATATGAGGACGTTAGAAACGTAAAAAAATAATGATAAAACAAAAATTGTTAGCAAATTATCCTTCCCCTCCATACAAAAGTTATGTATACGCCACTGATTCCCGTATAAATTATGATACCTTAAAAATCATAGCGCACAATATACAAGATAATGAGTACAATAAATACAATTCGTGAAATAAAACATACACATATGAGTAATAACCGGCGAAGGTCATAAAAATAAAATATTACGGGTATATTATATAATGCCGTGACAATAATTAAGACTCGATTGTAATACATAGTAATATATATGATAGACGTTATTTATAAGTGTAATATAAACATGTAAGATAATAGTGAGAGAGATTTGAATAAAAAAAATTAGAAAAATTAAATTGTCAAAGCATAGTAGTTTATTAGATAAATTTAGTGACGAATTTAAATCTGCTTCCAAAATTAATATCAGAACATTATAATGGGCGTAGTGATTGAAGTCGTGAACTATGTTTTCGACCGAAAATGAATCACACTCCTGCCCCATAATACCAATACTTAAAAATAAAATTTTGATTCACAAACTAATTATAATAATGTATTATTTTTACATTATTAAAATTAAACCCATCATGGTCTGATTACGGCTACAATAGGTCATATTAAAAAATAAAAAATAAAATAAAGTATTACGATGTTATATAATGATATATCAAGAAAACATTTTTCAAAATGTTCCATTTATATTTTATGCCACAATACATAATATGGGTTTGATGGATGTTTAACGTGTTCATCTTGTATTCTTTAGACATTACTTTTTAACGAATATTGAATTATAAAAATCGTACACTGAACAGTGGAATTCTGAATTAAATTTTTTAACGTTGTAGTGGTCTGTGGTTCTGTCGTAGATCACGGTATAATGACGCGAAACTCATGCATGACAAATACAACTGTCTGTACGACTTTGCCAAACCTATTTACAGCCTTGACCCCTGGACCCAGTAGTCTACGCTTTGTTCGCAAATAAGTACGATACTATAATTATGCGTTTGTGGAAATAATACTAATTTACTGAATTAGTTTACAAAAACTCACAGTGATTCGAAAGAAAAAAAAAGCTAAACCCTTAATATTTTATTCTTTTTATCGATTATAACTTAAATAAATGATGTGTTCTTTGCATTTAATTTTTTACGTATAACGTATTTTGCGGTATTTTAAGCATTATTATATCGGTTTTACTAATTTTACAGGAATGAAGAAAAAATATCATGAGCTTACATTTTTTCAATTATAAAACTTCAACATTTTTCTTTATTAATATTGATCTACAAACTTTAAACGTATTCAATATAGTATTAATTTATTATTCGATTAGTGTTTTTTTTGAGTTGAAAAAAAAATTAATATACAACTTTAGTTCAACCGTTCGGGGCATTTATTTCTAATTGTACGAGAACTTATAATTAATCATGTTTGATATTTCATTACTCTTGCACATTTCAAATTGTAATTTAACCTTGTCTCCATCATTTGAATACGTATATGTGTATAAATTCTTTCGTGCCAAACTATTTTAATCGTTTAATTTCAATTATTGAAAATCGAATGCTTCAAAAATTATATTTCTGGAAAAAATCCTACATAGGACACCGGAGCTGGTGAATAGTAATTATTACGAGAAATCTTGTATTACGAATAATTAGTAAGATTAACTGGATAATGTGCAATAAATTGAACTCGATTGAAGTAAATTATAAAAAAATAACAAGGGGGTTTATAAACACTTAATATTTGTACTAAATTATCAACGGAAATAGTTAAACGATTTCGTTTTAATTAGTACGCCTTATTTTAGATGCTGTACATCATAATGATATAGTGTTACATATGTATAATAACTATTAATTATTAATACACACGAGCCATTTGCGGGATATAAAAAACATCTTAGCATCGTGACTGCAATAAATCGGGACAAAAGCGGTCAATTAGTTGGTTGTGAGCCAACAAATAGTAATAGCTAGTGGTAATAGTTACCAAAAGTGTCGACTTCAACATAAAAATGCAATCCCAGTAATTGTAGAACTTTTGCCCCAACACAGTTTTAACTTCCAAGAGGCTAAGTGAATTGCATAAATACATAAGAAATCATTTTTTTTTTCCTATTGATTAATACGTTGTATTATAGTAACGAATATTTGTGTACTAAACACTTCAAGTTGCTTTTCATCTTTAATGGAATTCATTGTTATAATTTTATGGGCCACACTTCAATGTAGAGTTGCTTTTAAGATGTCCTATGACATTTACTTTTTATATTCGACTCCGATTAATGCGGAATATATTGGCTTATACAATAATGGTTTTTTATTTTTTTTTTTTTAGTATATCCACAAACATTTTATTTTTAAATTTGTACTGTATTCCAAAAGCGTTACATAATTTGTATATAAATTGGTAATTCTATAACGCAATACGGTACACAAAACCAGTCACATTTATAATGTTGTCTAATATAATTTTCAAACAATTCTTATAACTGCATTCTTATAACGGTGTAACACGTATTCTCGAGGATTAAAACTTATGAATTTTCTTACGATTTCATTACAATTCGAGGGATAAAATGTTTATAAACAATTTACCTTAATACTTATCATTCAATCATTGAATTATTAATTGAAATCATTCAATAGTTACTTAAGAATCTTATAATTTATTATTATTAATACAAGTTGATGGCTTTCGATATTATAGACTTTTGATACATATTTAAATATATTTAAGTAATGTATTAATCTCTGCTATTTAATTGAAAACTTGAGAAATATTTAAAACTTGGCTACTCGATAATCGATAATTTACTTCTTATATCAAGATAATAAGCTCTGGGCTTTTTTTTTTTTTTTTTGGTGGAAAGTAAATTATCATTGATAATATTAAGTTAATGAATATAAATATATAATACATAAATTGTTTAATTAAAATATTGTATCTCTCTAATATTTTCATTGCAAAATGTTAATACCCATGAATTTTATTTTATATTTAAAATCATTATACTCATCTATATTTTTATACTTTATATTCATTAAAATTCACGGTCATGTAAATTACATCTGATGTATCTCAAATAA